CCAAGCTGGATGACCACCCCTTTCCGGCTGTCCGCGACTGCTTATTCAATATATTCACCATGTCAGGTGGGTTTCTTCTCAACATGACATGGGGCGTCCTCACGTTGCGGATGGAGGAGCCGTTCTCCAGGTATGGAGGGAAGCTGCGATGGTGAGAAAGCAGGGTTCAATTTAGGCTCTCGCGCTGTTTATGATGATGATGATGAAGAAGTGGAAGTGGATAAAATATTAAGAGAGTACAGTGACCTGTTTTGAGCTATTATCCCATAACAACCTGTTGCTGGAATCAAGACATTCACCTGAATCAGAAGTAGTGTTGGCAACCACAGTGATCCCTATTGGCAATTGAAACCCCTTACAAAAGAGAAAAGGTGTTTTCTTTGCACATCGGCATTACAAGAAAGCTTGTGTTGAAACATGTGGCCTATTTTAACACTTCTTCTCATCAAAGAATTGTAGAAAGAAAAAAATAACGTTTCAATAACACGAAGAAGAGTACAAGCTTGTACCGGTTCTCACGGTCTCTTCGCTTGCGGATTTATTATTTTTCCTTCTACCTTGAAGATGGAGGCTTTATGTTCCTCCGAAACGTCGGTTAACACCACATCTACACGGCGCCACATCCCAGAAGACTGCTTTCTTCATATTCACCGCCGTGAAAACCTCAAATCTTACAATTCGGAAAGTAACCGTTGGATGCTCGACAGGGTTGCTCGCTATTCTGTCCAACCCTTTGTGGTCCTATGTCGGACTGAGTCCGCCACTTTCAATTCCGTGTTCCGAAGCAACTTTCGACTCAGCCCACCACACGTTTTACGAATGTAACAGACGGTCTGGAGTCAGTCTCAGGGATAAGAAGTGTCATTCAAGCCTTCCCGTTTGCAGCACTTTTGGCAAAACTTCAGTGCTTTAGTGAAGTTTATAATGGAGTCGTCCATTGGGCGTGCACTGGACAGCAAACTCGGATTCTTTCACTAAATTGATATGAGCGACAGCTGTAGTAATTCTGATGACGGTTAGGCAAGTGCGAATGGAGGTGGTGACGATGGTGGTGATAGTGGTTGTGGTTACAACGACCAAGACAATGGTAATGAAAACTGTGCTATCTGAGATGAAAATAACCATGATTTCTATATGATACTATTTCGTGCCTCATCCGGTTATAAACACAGAAAAATTCCTGCTTCTACGTATGAATTATATATGCTATTTTTAGTGCAACTGTGAAGAAATTGCTGCTGAAACTAACTGATACGTAAGAAGAAAACATGAATAACATGTATGGGCAATCAGCAGAACTTACAACTTCGATCTCACTTGGAGGTTCGTAAGAAAGTGATTGAAGGCTTGGTAGGAAACTTTTGAAACAAAATGACCCAAAAGAGTGGAGTCCCAAGTTCAANAGACCGTTAGTCTCGGTTTTATAAACCGGAGCCGATACTTCCTTAAGATAGCTCCTCAGTTATCCTCACGAGGCTGAGTGCACCCCGTTACAGATCCACTACTTCTAGCGCCAGGAATCGAACCCGGACCTCTGGATCTGTAGCCAGGAACTCTGACCAGTAGACCAAAGAGGCCGTAGAGATTCGTTGCTCTGACCACGCGACACCTTCTATCGGCTAAAGTTGGCACTAACTTCGCCGACAAGCGGCGGTCGCTCGGTCGGTATAGTTCGCTTGCGGACTAAAACCACGGAGTCGGAATGGTAAACTGCACCTAATTCAGCCACGTGATGGGAAAGTAACAAAGGATTATGCAGTTTGTTCCAACAGAGAATTAAATGGAGGCAGAGGAGAAACCTCGTTTTATTGTGACACGTGCCCAAGGAGGGCAGGACTCCACCATAGCAAGTGTTTTGTCATACATCACAGAGTTAAGAAGTACCGTTTGGTATGTAGCTAATAGAAATATTTTATATCTCATAAAGGTATAGGGAAAATATTTTATCTTTCCAGCAGAAAATTCTATTCGTTTATTATTATTTTTACGCATGGAGCAATCCGCCACTGACACGTGCATGTTCAATCGTCTTATAACTCATTCTTTATTTGTACCGACTTGGCCGTTTACTCTTTACGTCGTGTTTCATTTTTCAGTGCAGACCTCAGTATTGAACTTAAAATAGCTGGAACAGTATAATGAGATCGAACGCTTGTACCTCATATGCCTGCATATAATATGTAACGCTTAGACGTCGCCAATGTAATATTCAAAGAACTGGGACTCGTTTTATCTACCGAACGATAGTAAACAGAATGGCAACATTCATTACATGTGTCACTATAGACAGCGGTACAGTCCGTGGAAGTATTTCACACAGTCAGTATTCAAATCGTACGATCTTTGATCCTTGCAGACCGTATTTTCAGCACACTTAGCAAAGTTTCTTGAGTTTTATGGCAATTATAAAGAAAAACAAAAACAAACAAGTCCATAATAGTAGCTTCAAATAAACAGTTAAATATTATTTAAATAAGAACAGTAGAAAACGGTAAGATAAAAGGCAAAGTTGTCCCTATACTTAACTAAGCAAGCACTACACCATGCAGACGTGTGGGGGAATGGATATACAGAAGGTTTTCTTGAGCTCGCACTAGTTGGAGGTCAGCTTCAGGCCTCGGCCGCTTTACCCCCAGTACCCATTGGATAGGAGGTTCGGTGGACCCCAGGGCCGGTCTGAATGACATGGAAAAGTGAAAATTCTTGACCACACCAGGACCCCAACTCCGACTCCTCGGTCGTCCATCTGGTCGCTATACTGACGTGCTATCCAGGCTCACGTAGGGAACGGTAGTGGCATTTAAATTGGACCGCTATGGTTCTTTGCGATGTTCGCCAATCAACTACACGCATTCCGAAATGTGACCCAGAAACAGGTCAGGGCTGCCTCCTTCCAAATCCATACCTGCGCTATACAGCCTTTCATACATGGTTAACTGCTGTTAGCAGTGGCTGCGTGGCCTCGGGCAGGTACCGTCCTCGGCAGCTTGAACGCTTGGATCGCAGGTTTGAATCCCATCCAGGACATGCATATACTACATGCTCAAGTCTTTTCTGTATTTGTGTTGTCCTGTGTAGATAAAAGCTTATAACAGGCCGATCTCCCGTCACGGAAGTCCTACCAGACGTCTATAAATGGGATTACGGAAAACGAGAAGCCTTGCTCTGTCGTACCACACAAGGAAGTGTGGTTAATCACCTTCACTGACAATTTACGATTAAATTCCAATAAATCTGTTAATAATATCGGTAATTTCCACTTTTTAACCATTACACTAAGAGAAAATGAAAAATTGTGTCTGTTACCTGGATCTCGAGGGAAATGTATTGGCCTATGAGAAACATATCATTACATTGATAACGCTTGGAAGTTCATCTATTATTCTTCAGACACATCCAGAACTAACAAAAATATCTTGATAGTTTTTCTACCTAGCTAACCGAAAATATTGTGATGATTCTTGTACCTAATACGTTGTAAACTTTACCATAGGATTTACTATTATATTATAATACATTGGGGGAACGCGATAGCGTAGTTGGTTGAGGCATTATGCTACAAGCCGGAAGGTCGCGGGTTCAAGTCTCGATGAGGTCATTGGATTTCTTTTTCAATTTACCTAATCCTTCCAGCTACACTACGGCCCTAGGGACGACTCAGCCTCTAACAGAAATGAGTACCAGGAATATTCTTGGAATATTCTTGGGGGTAAAGGGTGGCCGGCGCGTAGAACTGACAACCTTGCCGCCATCTATGAGCCGATTGCCTAGAAAATGTGGGAACCTCAACATCTCACAACCTTATGGGCCTCCACGGCCAGTTACAGGAGTACTTTTACTATACTTTTATTCTAATAAATTTCTATACGAAAAAAGAATCCAATAATGAATGAACAGCAGTAAATTTACTGCCTGCGTACTGGGAGCTTTCAAATGCTGGTGCATATACTTAAGGTGAAACTTCCCCTGTGCTTCATTAATGAAGCACCAAGCCATGATGACATATGGGAAATGCAGGTACAACTCCACAATTCTTGACCTCGGAAGTAGATGGTGGTGAGTGGTAAGCTTCACATCCCTTCAGCTTTAATCTCAGGGAAAGATTCTCCGGTACTCACTAGATGGAAGGTTGGGTGGGTTCCAGAGCTGGTCTTCGCACCTACTCCTTTAATAACTGACATTAACATTCCTAATATTGGGTTCTCGTCTACAAAAGTCACTCAGTATAATATCTCCCATAGCCAGCGAATTATATTCTTTAGAAGTTATGTTGGGTAACTGGAAAAGTTTTTACAGTACGATGACCACTTATGTTAATAAACATCGAATGATTTGTGTTAGATTTAATAACATTAAATAAAGCCCAAATGTAGTGAGAGATTAGCGCAATTTGGCTTGAATAATAGGATCCATGGGCACCGGCAGGGTGGTAATAAGATATCTTCCACCTTCGATTTTTGTAAAAAAATAAAAACTGGAAACAAGTAAACGCACCAAATATTAATAGCAAAAATGAAATTATTTTTAAATGTCGCTATCTTGGTTTCAGTATAGAGACAAACTCTAGGGCGATCCGAAAAAAATATTCTTAAACAGCTTAAACGTAAGCCTATAAGCTTACCCACCCCCTTTCAAAAAACAATCCCTTCCACGGTAGGGCTAGTAACTAAACGAAATTTAAATGCAGGGACTTTTATATGTGGTCCGTTTCTAATTATTTAATAATTAAGTTGAACATTTGTAAACTAGGTAACTCTTTTCTCATAACTAAATGAGCGAAATTAAGTTGTAAGATGAACTGTTCATAACAGACCGAAATGTAGCTTATGTAACTGAGGCAATGAAATTGTTTTACTGACCTAATAAACACTCTTTCTTCCTAACTGCTTTATGTGAGATCAATTTATTACAACTGACAAAGTTTAAGGCTTAATTTGTTTAGAAACATTGTCATATTTCTGAGACATTGTATTTTTATAAGGAATAATCATGGCATTTACCTGGATAGAATTCTACGCTGGCTAGAACTTCGCTGCTCAGCGACACGTAAATAATAAACCAGAGTAGCACAAGTTTCATACTGAAAATTACTTTAAAATTCCCTCAGATTTGGTCCATATGTTGTCATTCCTTAGCCATTTTGGAAAATCAATACACTTCCCAGCGTTCCATTGCTCGACAACAGAACATCACCATCATGTACTCGGCGCGGTAGACACTGCGCTCACGGAAATTCTTCGTACTTGAACAGGAACAAAACTCAATTCTTATCAAAGCGCTTCCTCCGCATGCGCAGAAACAGCTGCCACATAACTGATTATAACCGGCAGTCAATTAACATCAAAAGTACGTGCAAAATACGAAGGATCGGTTTCCTGTTCACTGTATAGAGACCTTTTAGAACTGAGCTACTACATGAAAGATAGATTATGTTTCAAGGAAGTAAATATGTCTTGTTTAAGAAGAATATGATCTTCGTAAGTAGTAAGACGGGGTAGTTCGGTAGTTGAGTAGCGACGTTTCTCAGATGTTTCAGATGAATTTCGATGGGATTATATACCAAATATCACTGCCTTACAACCTGGAAGGTCCTTACTCTTGGCAGTCGGCGTTCTTAAAACTTCAAATTTAACATCTTGTTTGCTTTACAAAAATATGATTATTCGAACACAGACTTTGAAATATGTTTACACAGTAGATTTTGGAAGGTGTTCCATATAATCTGCATGTATTACAAAATAACATATTTAGATATTTTACTTAAGAATTAGAATATACAAAACTATAATTATGCCTGTGGTTTTGTATGGGTGTGAAACTTTGTCTCTGACATTAAGGGAGGAACATACTGAGGGTGTTTGAGAACAGAGTGTTGAGGAGAATGTTCGGACCGAAGAGAGATGAAGTGACAGGAGGTTGGAAAAAACTGCATAATGGAGAGCTTCATAATTTGTACTCTTCTCTAAGTATAATTAAAATGATCAAGTAAAGGAGGATGAGGTGGGAAGGGCATGTAGCACAAATGGGGAAGAAGAGGAATGCGTTAGGATATTGGTGGAGAAGCCAGAATGAAAGAGAGCACTGGGAATGCCAAGAAGTAGGTGGGTGGATAATCTTAAAATGGATCTTAGAGAGAGAGGATTTGATTGATCTGGCTCAGGATATGGGCCAGTGGGGTGCTCTTGTGGACACGGTGATGAACCTTCGGGGTCCATAAAATGCTGGGAAATTCTTGAGTAGCTACGCAATTGGTGACTTCTCAAGAAGGGCTCAACTCCAAGAGTGAGTGAGATAGTTTACTCGCTTAGCCGTGTGTGGGGACTGGACGTCTTCTGACCTGAGTAAGTCCGTTCCTATGTCACTTTACGAAGGATGTGTGACGGATTGGGTAATAGTGGGACAGTGTTTTCTTATACTTCGGCGTTCTAATAGTGCTCCTAAGTGGGAGCTTCATTGCTGGCACTTCGGCCAGACACTGAACAAGAAAAGTTCGTCTTTTTTGCTTCCTCGCTCCAATATTTCTTTCAATGTTATCGTTCGACATATTGAACCCAAGGTTCCCTCGTGAAATCTGACACCGATTAGCATAATCTTAACTACAGCGTCGTAAGATAAAACGTCCTCATCGCTATCTACCTTTTGTTTCTCTGCGTAATATTTTACCACGAAGATTTAGCTCTTAATTTCGATTCCATATTTATTCTCTCCCATAAAATCGAGACTATTTTATTTCAACATACAGAACTCTGTTGTCTGTATGACACTGTGCAACATTCATTTCGAGGTAAAACATATTCACGATTATTATTTCTTCGCTTGTGTGATGAATGAATGTCTGTGAACCAATATCTGCAGGCCCATAGCCTAAAATGTGTAAGAAATTTTTCATTAAAGAGCTTCATAACTTGTACTCTTCTCCAAGTATAATTAGCATGATCAAGTCAAGGAGGATGAGATTGGTAGGGAATGTAGCGCGGATGGGTGGGACGAGGAATGCGTATAGGATATTGGTGGGAAAGCCAGAAGGAAAGATAACACAGGGAAAACCAAGGCGTAGGTGGGTGGACAATATTAAAATGGATCTTAAAGAGATAGGATGGGATGTTATGGATAGGATTGATCTGGCTCAGGATAGGGACCAGTGGAGGGCTCTTGTGAACACGGAATGAACCCTCGGGTTCCATAAAATGCTGGAAAATTCTTGAGTGGCTGCAGAATTGGCGGCACCTCCAGAAGGGTTCAGCTCCGTGAGTAAGTAAGTAAGTAAGTAAGTAAGTAAATTATCCATAATAAGGATTTCTGACATAACGTATTTGATTAACTAGTGACTGGACAAAACTTGTCTCGGAAAAATTTTGTGAAATACAATAAAACACTCATTATGATATAAGCACAGGAAAAAATGCGGTTTATGGGATTGACATGCTGTGTGAATGTCTCTCCGTTCAAGTTTCAAAGCAACCATTTTGTTTTCTATGTGGTAGCGATAACGCATGAGGTAACAAACCCTCGGGTTAGATTTACCAGTACAGAATAATGAGAGGCTGCATTATGTGTCTAAATATTCTGTAATTCTTTATGCTAAACGTGAACCCAAAATGGACAAGTGTTATTCATCTGACTGTGTGTCTATTTCATCTCCCGAGACAATCAGTGGAATTTAATTGCATGATATGGAGGGTCTAAATCACAGATTTCGAAGTATCTTGGTGATGTGCCACATTTTATCTGGATTACCTTCGTAAGAATCACTGTTATATCCTAAAGATTATGTGCAGTCACAGCTTGAGAAGCATGTTTGTCTGCTCGCCTAAGGTGAGCTGCTTTATCGAACTGAGTATTATAGGACTTGACAGGTTCATCCAGTTTCAAGAAATGCGTTATACTATTGGAGACAGTCCCAATCCTGCACTGTTCACATGTCATACAGTTAGTGCCAAGAACAAAGCGGATACGAGCGATCTAAAGGGTACTTTCAAGTATATAATACAGAGCAGTAACATGGTGGTCGTGCGAAGTTTCTTTTTCCTGAACTATAACAGCGACAACAAATGTAACACTGCAGTTAGGAACATGAAATTCGATGCAAAGATTGCTTATAAACAATCCTACAAATCTGGTCATTAATTACAAAGATGGCAACGGTGTAATCTCTGAGGCGATATATGACTAATTCAACAAGTAGAATATGTATTGAAGTACAGTGGAACCTCACTTAACGAGCAAAACAAATTGGAAAAAAAAAAGAAAAAAAAAACTCGCTTAACGAGCGAAGTTTCGCATAACGAGTGACGAAAGGGGAAGTCCCGGATTGTGCGCTTGCTACATCAGTCTGTGTTTAGCACTCCTTCCGCTAGCGTCTTAGTGTCGCTTGTGATCACACATTTTTCCAAACTTGTGTTCAGACATATTATTTGTGATTTTTTTTGTGCAAAGTTTAATAACCCTTGCAAAAATGTCCCCGAAGAAAAAGCCGCAAAAAGGCAGCCAAAAGAGAACAAAAAATAACCGTAGAAATGAAACGTAAAATCATTGAAAAGCGAGAACGAGGTGTGAGCGTGGCTGATCTAGCACGCACATACAATCGGTCTACATCAACGATTTGGAGTTGCATTGTGATTCACAGCAAGAAGTTGTGGAGGAGAGTTTGTCAGAGGAGGAGGAGGAGGTAACAGCAAAGCAACAATCTTCTGGCACAATAAGAGAAATGCTGAAAGCATGGGAAACTGTTGCATCGTACATCGAGAAGCATCAGCCTAATAAGGCAGTGGCTATGCGCGCTACAGATTTATTTAATGATAATGCTGTATTGCATTTTCACCAAATTTTGAAGCGTCGGCAAAAACAAATGTCTCTAGACAGCTTTCTAGTAAAAAAAATTAGATATGTATCATAAATAATAAAATAATTATTTCGATTTTTTTTTCTGCAAATCGAATTCGCATTCTAGGTTGGTTCATTCCGCATAGAAGAAAAGATGAAGATGATTCGCGCTCCTTAACAATGTATATATAATTTTCTTTGAAAAAACGTTATACATAAAATTTTTTGAATATTTTTTTCGGCATGGAACACATCGTATTTTACATTAACTTTTATGGGAGAATTTTTTTCGCTTAACGAGTGTTTCGCATTACGAGTAAGATTCTGGAACGAATTATGCGCGTTAAGCGAGGTTCCACTGTATCATAAAAGTATCCATTTAGCCAAGTTTCAGTTGGACACATTTTTAAAACTAGAAGAGCATGCACTGCTTATACACCAAACAAATGTTGTCATAATTCCATGAACATTTTAGTAAAAACATATCTACACAACTGGAAAAAAAATTTTATCTCTATTATTGTCACTGAGATATACAGTCCTTGCCTACTAAAACAAGGGCTCCCTTCATTTTGTCACCCTTATGACTAGATGCAGTTGTTCTGTTCATAGAAAAAATTAAATGCACCAGCTAGTGGCAGAACAGACGTTCTGAGGAATATTGTACAAGTACTTCAGCATCATATTGTCTATGAACTTATTATTGGTTGTATCCAAGTTATTTAATAACACCAAACTATAACAAATGAAACATATTACTATTTTAATGTTCTGCATATAGTTTTATATGTTGGCACTACACACTGACAAATAACATGTATGATCTCCCTCAATTGTAAACATTGGCCAATACAGGGAAAACAGCAGCAAAGTAGAGACTAAACATAAATATGTTACCTGATGATGGCCATTAATTACTTATTTAGTCATGGTGCTGAGCCCTTCTGGAGGAGCCGCCAATTCTGCAGCTACTCAAGAATTTTCTGGAATTTTATGGAACCCGAAGGTTCATTACCGTGAAGAAAGCAGTCTTCTGGGCTTTGGCGCCGTGTATATGTGGTGTTAACCGACGTTTCGGAGGAACGTATCGCCCCCATCTTCAGGGTTGAAGAAAAAGTATAGGTAAATCTGCAAGCGACAACACCGTGAGACACGGTCAAGCGTTACCGTGTCTCACGGTGTTGTCGCTTGCAGATTTACCTATACTTTTTCTTCAACCCTGAAGATGGGGGCGATACGTTCCTCCGAAACGTCGGTTAACACCACATATACACGGCGCCAAAGCCCAGAAGACTGCTTTCTTCATAGTCACCGCCGTGAAAGCCTCAAATCTTACGTTCATTACCGTGTTTGCAAGAGCCCTCCACTTGTCCCTATCCTGAGCCAGATATATCCAATCTGTACCATCCCATCCTATCTCTCTAAGATCCATTCCAATATTGTCCACACACCTATGCCTTGGTCATCCAAGTGGTCTTTCCTTCCGGCTTTCCCACCAATATCCTACATGCATTTGTACATTTGCATCCCCCATTCATGCTACATGACCTGCCCACCTCATCCTCCTTGACTTGGATCATTCTAATTATACTTGGAGAAGAGTACAAGTTATGAAGCTCCTCATTATGCAGTTTTCTCCAACCTCCTGTCACTTCATAACATGTAAAATAATATATAAAGCTTATATAAAAAATATGGTCAAGGTTTGGTTATATAACTTCAACTTCTAACAGCAGCTCCATCTGCTATGAGATCATAGCAATGACTGCTCTGCTGCAGCTAGAATAACAGCAGAAAGAGAGTATGTCATATTTGTGAGAAATTAACAAACAAAGCAAATATAGTGTTCTTCCATGTTAACATACCTAACATATTCTGCCTACGTAAGGCATAATGGGCCACAGTTCAGGTTTATGAAGCGGAATAATTACACTTCCATACTTCATTAAATGATATGTAACCTTAACAGACGAAACTGTGGGAACCTCCCACATTCTAACAGAAAACAGACAACTCTCATAATGTAAGAGGAGGAGGCAATATTTATACATCACTTGCAAGCTACTGATCTCCAGTAACACCATGCCAACTCTGCCAGCGCATGCTCCGTAGACAGCCAACTCTGCTGGTGCACGCACCATAGCTCCAAAAGCCAGCCAGCCATGCTTGCTGTTATCCCATCAGCTCATAATCACCGAGCGGTAGCAGCAAAGGAAGAACACTGGGCTGCTACATGGAAGATGCAGGACAGCAAAGAAGAAAACTGGGCTGTGAAAAAGAAAATGCAGCTAGACAAACGGCCCTTTTAGGGGTGTGCACTTGGCACCGTTATCGCCGGACCAGACTAGCCGTCATGAAAGGAGTCTCCACCAGTATTCTTCACACATGCTACTGCTGGTTGTAAACAACAAACATTTGTTGTTATAGCTTCAAGTTGTTGTCACTGTGAGTATCGACATCCCACATTGGGTGGAGCTGCAAGTGTGAGCGCTGAATGGATAGCACTTGTGTTGGTGTCCAAAGTGCCAGGCTGCAAGTGATGCATAAATATTGCCTCCTCCTCTTACGTTGTGGGAGTTGCCTGTTGTCTGTTAGAATGTGGGAGATTCCCACAAAACACTGTAAAACTGATGGTTTAACACTGATATACTGTACTTTTAACAGGAAAATATATGGTTCTCGAAGGAAAAGGACAGAATATTGTAAATGTATTGCACTTACTTACTTACTCAAGGAGCTGAGCCCTTCTGGAGGAGCCACCAATTCTGCAGCTACTCAAGAATTTCCCAGCATTTTATGGAACCCGAAGGTTCATTACAGTGTTCACAAGAGCCCTCCACTGGTCCCTATCCTGAGCCAGATTTATCCAATCCATACCATCCCATTCTATCTCTCTAAGATCCATTCTAATATTGTCCACCCACCTACGCCTTGGTCTTCCTTGTGGTCTCTTTCCTTCTGGCATTCCCACCAATATCCTATACACATTCCTCGTCTCCCCCATTCATGCTACATGACCTGCCCACCTCATCCTTTTGACTTGTTCATTCTAATTATACTTGGAGAAGAGTACAAGTTATGAAGCTCCGGCAAATGTATTGGTAACAACAAAAAAGTTTCCACTTTTGCAAAAAGCTTACTTTCAATACTCTTTATATGAAGAAAATACAATACATGTACAGAGGAACATCCTATTCAAGTATTACTAGTCAATCTACTTCATGTTCAAAAACAAACTAAACAGAATTGAATTCAACTAAATTCAAGTGCAAGAATATAATTCCAATGAACGTAACTGTGTTAAACAGCATACACTACCAGGGACTTCACACTTCATGTTCACAGAGATACATTTACCACACCACTGACTGCAGCCACTCCACTAGGTCCATTGTGTAGTCAATCATGGGTTGCTCTTTGTTGAGGGGAGCCTCAGAGAGCAGGTTGCAGGGCAGGTGCAGTTCTCTCCCAAACCTCATGCTTGCAGGCATCATATGTGTGGGTTCATGGGTTTGTACTTTGTAGGCTAGCAGGAAGAGAGGTAGCCCCTTGTCCCAGTCTCTTTGGTGCACTCAAATGGCTCCCTCAGGAGCTCCTCTACTACCTTCATGTATCGTTCCATCATGCCATCTGAATTTTGATGCAGAGTTGTGGTCTGTGTCTTGCAGATTCACAAGTTTTGTAACGCCTCCTGTAGGTGCCATAATTCAAAGTTCCAGCCTTGTTGTAGTGCAGTTCCCTCAGAACTCCAATCTGGCAGAAGATACTGGTCACCAGAACATTTGCAATTGTTGATGCCCTTTGGAGAGGTACAGCAAACTTCTGGCCACTCGGTGAAGTAGGCCACAGCAATCAGGAGGTACTGATTCCCCTTCTTGCTACCTGGAAATGTCCTGTTATGTCTCGTGATCCCCTCGAACAGTTTCCTAAAGTTAAACTGCTGTATGAGGCCCTGTCTCCATGTCTAGTGACCTAAACTTGCTGCACAGGAGTCACATTGTTGGCACCACCTTCCAATGTTGCTCCTTGCATGTTGTCCATAGTGCCACTCTCTACCTTATGCAAGGTTTTTTGGCACACAAGTATCCTCCTAAAGATCTTCTGTTGAGCTCTCCCAGTACTTCATTTACTTTGTAACAAGCAGAACTATTTAGATTGCCTTGGATCATCCATCGGCCAACTTCCAGTGGTGTTCTAGCATGCTGTCTGCCACTAACAGGGAGATCCATGAAGCAAGCCAATTAAATATTGTATATGGAACTGTGGCTGGATATGCCCTTTCGCTGTCCAGCTTCCATTTCTTGTTGAACTGGCCCCATGTAATTGCAATCCTCCATGGCCTGGCATGAACCCAGTCATCCATGGTGGAAGCAGCAAAGACCCATACTTTTGCACTGCTTAACTCTCTTTCAACTTTCTGGCCCTGAGCACAAGCCCCCTGGTAGGGCCTTCAAGAAATTGTGCTCTGGGAGATGAACTGTTTCTCCTTCCACATTCTTGAAACTAAGGAAACAGATCAGTACAGGCTAGTTGGTGCACATGTGAAATTCTTGCCCAAATCCTTAGCCTTGCCCTTGCACATACTCAGTATAAACTAATGCTCCTTACAAAAACAAGCTATTCACCATCAGTATGATTAATACAAGTAATTCAGACTAAAACACAAAATTAAATTATTATATTTTCACAGAAACTTAATCTTCAGGCGTAATCCATTTGTTTTCAAGTTTAATTTCATTCTTTCCTCTCTTCTGTATGGAGCGAATATATGTAGGAGGAGGGGTGGGAAAAATACCCTTCACAGTCATTTCTTTCAACATTTTCAAGATGTCAGGTGACTGGAATGTGACTTCCATACTCCCAAAACTCTTGCCCTCAGCATCAGGCACAATATCTCCAACTGCCCAATGACATGGTGAGCACTGCAAGAGATACAGAATAGTGGCAGCTTTAGCAACACTTGGAAATTACACTGTGGAAGATGAGACAGGACAATCATCATGAATGGTGAAGAGGTAGGGATTGGAATGAGCTTCTCATACCTATTGTAAGGGTGGTATTCTGGCATTTGCCTGACAAAAATGAGGAAAACCATCATAAACATTGGTTAAGACAGAAGGTTATCCAAATGAAATTAAAAATATTTACTTCTGAATACAAGTCTAGAGCCATATGCTGCCTGCCATTTGTTTTTGTGTGGCTCATAAGAGCAGCTTTCAGTTCTCCAAAATATGTATTAATGCATTCTTATCTTTATGAAAAGGCATCAAATCTTGTAACACACAGAAGAAGTACTTACTAAATATTTCATATATATTTTTTTACATCTATTTTGCAAAACACATGATACGAGGGTCGTAATGAAAGTCATGAGCAACAATTTTTTGTAAAGCAACATGCTTTATTATTGACAAATCAAATACACCACCTCAATCTACAGACCTTTCTTTACTTTTCCACATAATCGCCACTTCTTTGTACACATTTCTTCCAGCGTTCTGGGAGTTTGAAAATTCCCCTTTTGTAAAATTCCATTCCAGCCATCCGAAGACAATGACACACTGCTTTCTGAATTTCCCCCCCCTTGTCTCAAAACGTCCACACAGCTGATCCTTCACAAATCCGAAAAGACAGTAGTCGGAGGTGCCAGATCAGGGCTATAGGAGGGGTGTGGAAGAACTTCCCACCCCATCTTTGCAATTGCTTCCAATGTGAGGCGAGTGGCATGAGGGCGAGCGTTGTCATGCAGGATGATGATGTTTCGTCCTGGACATTTTTTGCGCAATGCATCACGGAGCTTGTGCAGCGTCTGGACATATCGAGCAGCATTAATGGTTTGCCTAAGTTCCAGGAATTGTCCAGAATAAACACCTCTGCATCCCAGAAGACTGTGCCCATCACCTTCGCAAGCTGATGGCACTGTCTTTGCCTTTTTTTTTTTTATGGAGAATGCAAATGGTGCCATTCCATACTCTGCCATTTCATTTCAGGCTCAAAATGGTGAAACCAGCTTTCGTCACCTGTCACAATACAGAGCAAAAAATCATCGCCTTCGTGTCGATATCTCTGCAGCAGTTCTCAGGTGATGGCTTTTCACTGACCATTGTGGTCTTCGGTCAATAACCGTGGGACCCCATGAGCACAAACTTTCCTACAGCCCAAAGTTTCAATCATCTCCTGTACTGCACTGTGCCCTATTCCAAGTTTTCGGGTTATTGTGTCCACAGTCACACGCCTGTCATCTTGAATGATCTCATCCACTCTTTCCTTGTTGCGTTCAGTCGAGGCTGTTCGAGGACGACCGCTCCGAGGCTGGTGTTCCCATCTTTAAAATGTTTCACCCATCTTCGAACACTGCTCACACCCATGCACACACTTCCATAAGCACGGTGAAGTCTCTGGTGAATTTCTGCAGCAGGGATTTCCTCTTTCACAAGAAATTCGACAACAGCATGCTGGCGAAATGACATATCATTGTGGGCCATTTTATTAGAAGTGATACTGGTCACTGAGTGGCTGCTATCTGTATTCGCATCACGATTCACCTGCCCTGAAGATGGAGGCGATACGTTCCTCTGAAACGTCAGTTAAAACCAAGAATACACAGCGCCAGATCCCAGAAGATGACTTTTGTCATAGTCATCGCCGTGAAAACCTCAAAACTTACAAGACTTATGATTGTTTCTCCTGTAAAATGCAACAACCCCTAACTATATTTGATAAAGATGTGGGAGTAAATTTTTCATTTGATCAGTATTTGGAAGACAATCTAACAGTTACTCATCACATTTGTGTCATCAACAGCATTCACTTGCATAAATACATCAATAAACAAAATATGAAAGCATGATGCACTGGTAAGTCTATATTCAGTAAGGGATATCCCTTTGCATCCAGAGTAGTGTATGGTGTGGTCTTCTGTTTCACCTGTCAGAATTGCTAAACCATTCCTAGACAATGAAGTGAAAGTTTAATTTTACCATAACATTTCTTTAAGAACACTTTGATCCAACTTTCCAGTGCTTGAAAGAGAATACAAAAGATATATATATATATATCTTCAACAGAATTGGAAAAGCCCACATGTGACACCATTCCTCAGTTCCTGATTATTTCCAACATTGTCATTTCCATACAATATTCTGGACAATATGATGAGTTAGGAGCTGGGATAGCTCAGTCAGTATAGTGATGGGCTACAGGCTGAACTGTCTGGGTTCAATTCCTGGCAATGCAAGATTTTTCTCTTCTCCACAGCATCCAGACTGACATTGGGCCTACCCAGCCTCCTATCCAATGAATACCGTGGGCTCCTTCCTTGGGAATAAAGTGGCAGGGGCATGAAGCTGACCGCTCACCTCCATCTAGTGTCAAGGTCAAGAATGGTGGAGATATACCTCCACTCCCCCACGTTTTCATGGCACAGTGCTTAACTAAATAAGCACAAGGACAACTTTACCTTTTACAATAATGAATTACCTAACTGACTACATCCTCTAAGGGTATCAATAGATGTGATTACGGACTATCTGAAGGACACTGTCTACAGGAATAATCTGCATCTAGCACAATTAGCTGCATTTTCAGAAATCTCAATCAACATGTTACTGGATGCACACAGACCACATACTGAAAAGGCGTTTTTATATGAATAGTGTGACGTGCTGCGCTAGCTGGATGCCCCCCCCCACCCCGGGAGCGGTGACACGCCGAGCAGAGCCGAAGTGAGCCGAGTTCCAGCACACTGGTCACTATGCAACGCGGGTAAACAGTGGTTGCGAGAGACAACTCCCGACAGCGTTGCTAGCAACACGGCGCCAGACAACAGTGGTGCCTATTACGTGGCTGTTTTCTGTGTTGTCCGGAACAGTGCTAAATAAGGAGCAGCGAAGACTATTCAAGACAGTTACAGTTACATTTCTGAAGTTACAAGTTAGCCAGGCAGTCAACCTTTCAGTTGTAGTCTAGCATTTCAGTCTAGTATTTGTGATACTGCCGATGGCAGTAACTGTCAGATTGTAATTTGTGTGATCGTAAGAGCGAATGTGAAATAAAATTTGCTATATCCAGTAAGGCGTGAAGTTATTTGTCGCGTTATACACCCAACACATGACAATATATTGTAACGTGTTTAGACACTGAAGACGCTGTAGAGATGGTTAATTGGTTTATTGAACACTCTACAACGGCTACAATTACTTATCACACAGTTGCGGGGTTTCACACTTTATAACCCTAATTGCATTAATCTGTTACCACTGTTGCGGGGTTTCACGATTTACAACCCTATGCGCAAATCAGTTCACTCTGTCTTCAGTAGTCTACACGTTTACACTGGAGTCAGAAGTGGGATTTGGACTTACACGTGTGATCGACGAGATTCGAACTCGAAACACATTACATTGGTGTCAGTTACCAGTGTGATAAGTGCATTACACTAATGAACATGGGTGTTCATAATTACAAGATTCCATCGTAGGACCATAGGTATAAAATGAAAGTTACCTTCACACTGATTTGCTGTAATGTTGGCTCGTTGCCAAAACACAAATCAGCAACCTCTGACCGACTCTTGTGTTGTGTGAAGTCTATTCCTCTTGGTGTCTCTTCAAGCATGACTAAAAGAGAAGTATCTGCTTTTCACAATTGTATATGAATAATTAAGTAAAATTACTAACACATTTTCAAACTAAAATACTGACATCCAATTGACTAAATATAGTTTATTATACAGCGAATACCCATCACAACAAACCCCAGTGATTCAGGGAAATTTATTCACCAACATGCAAATTTGCTAAAATGAAAGGTGGTGAAATGCTGAAAATGATACTATATAAACAATTAACCTATTTAAGATGAACTTTATTTCCTACTTAAATAAGCAACTGTCTCTAACTGTGATTTTAAGTGCATTTGAACAAACAAATCATCTACTTTCAAAATATGTGATATGTTCATATATATATATTTTCTTGTATTCATTTGTTTACATCATTATACTTGGTTTAAATAATGAGAATTGTATAATAATATCATGTGTTAGAGTGACTATAGACAGGGTTTGCATTGCAGATTGGATTTATTGACCACTTACCAATTGTAACTACAAGTAACTATAACTCTATCATTAATCTCCACACTTTACAAATAATTACAGCACATGCTAAGACTTCACAGTCTGCTTTCACTAGTTGTTTCCTGGTAACAGATCTCAGCAGTGAAGATCTTTCAGCTTCTGTGTTCACATCGTTACTGTCTGGCAAACAACCCACAACTGAATTAAACAAAAAGACAAAGTCAAAGTTACTTTACGACTGGTGATTCACTGCAAATCAGTTTATCTTGGTGCCAAGCCCCTTGAGGCTCACAACCAGAAATATTTTCTTTTAACTGAACCCTCGCAGCCATAGTCCTTATGTAACATCCTCTCTGATGAAAGGATGGGTTTGTCTCTTATGAATAGGCTTCTCTTCACCACTGTCAAGTGTATGTATCACACACATAGCATGTTATTAAAAATACTTCCTTGTGCTCTATGTACACATCCTCTGTCAGTACAGGCTTTGCAAAGCAGATCATGTTTATCTTACATATCTTATGCTAGAATGGCAGCTTAGTTCCTTGGATGGTCATAAGCTTGACCACTGGCAAGTTTGAGCCTCTTATATTTTATATATCTGGTTTTGTGTTGTCCTATACTGCGAACATGTGCATTCTCATGACTTTGTATGACTTCTGCCTGCTGCCTGCACAATATATAATTATATTATTACATACATATAGAAGGTTGAAAAGCTGTGTGCAAATCGTGGACCAGTGTCCACCTTGCAAAATTTCTAATAGTGCGGAGAACCTTGTTTTGTAGGCACTGCAATGTTAAGAGGTCTGCCGCTAATTCTCAGGCAGGGCAAGCATAAGTCAGTACTGATCTGATCAGTGCCTTATGGAGGGTTAGTTTAATGTTGACACTTAAATGCTCACTTTTGAATAGGAAGTATATTCTAATAAATGTTCTGAAGGCCTTGGCTTCAATAATTTCTATGCATAGTCTCTATATAACCCTCTTATCGAAGATTACACAGATAAATTTTACATGACTGATGAAGGGGATATTTCATTCTTTGTATGTAAGATGAGCCTCAGGGGCTGAACTAAACTCTAAACTTGTCCCACTGATAACCGCTTCACAAAGACCATGTAGAAAACACTGTTTCCAACAGTTCCTCTATTGTTGCGTATGAACTGTTGAGGTTCCCATGTGATCACTACCCAACCAGTCCATTGGAATGCTGGCTGCTGCCTAGCAACGGGTCTATACACCACAATACCAACAAAAGAAAGCAATACTGGCTACTTTCTCATCATTTGCCCAGTTAAAAGATTGTGTTCTTTTTTTGTAACATGAGAACTGTGCATGTTATAAAGTTTTAGCAATATATGTTATATATTTTTTGGGCACCTGTATCTGTATATTACCACAGTTCTGAATCAAATATAAGAGTCTTTATTGGCAAGATACAAGGATTCAATGCTTCAAATGTCTGTGAAATCCATGACAAAAGTAGCTGTTTAGTTAATAATTAATAGTCTGTAGCTAATTTTCAGACAGGTGTTCCCAAAAATATTCATAGAAGGGAACAGAATTATTGTGTATGTGTGTGTGTGTGTGTACGCGTGCGTGGGTGGGTGGGCGTGACTGTTCATATTGTTAAATAAAAGAAACATTTTTTTTACAAATCTGCCAAAATATCTGGAAGTTCAACTGAACCGTAATTGTCTACTTTACACAGTGGTATATTCAGACATCATGAGCCTTCTTGACATGCATAATTAGTGCTTACCGTGTACAAGGTAGTCACATACATATTGTGACATATGGGCCATTTCTGTAACAATAGAGGAATGTACATAAACATTCTCATGGCAATGAATACAGGCAACAATAGAAGAACTGCCATTTCTATGCGATGGCTGGTAAACCCAACCCTAAAATAACATGACAACAATGAGGGGAAGCTGTGTCTTCTGTGTGGTCCACACCAAGCAAATGCATGAATAGGATGTCTGCTGCTAGGCAACGAAACTGTAAACATGCATCCTTAACAAAAGAAGATGGTGTTTTCTGTGGGGTCCATGCAGAGAAGTTATCTTGAAGACAATCGGTGCTACAAGTCAAGCACTTCTCTGCAGGGGATAGCCACGGGAAGTTCATAGTAGAAGAATTAGAAGTCAGCCTGTGAAGACTTAATGTGCGATCTGAACACATTATGTGTGCTGTGGTGCAGTAATATCTGGAGTGTCAGTTAGGGCAAGGACACACCAAAGAAACTGGCAACCACAATGCAACTGCAATTTCTGAGAAATGTTGCTAATTTCAAGCAGGCAACTGATTTCAGGATTAGCAGGCACACACTGAGGAAACTTCCGTTTGATTAGTTGCTATCATCTTAAGTGGGCGTAAGTGGATATGTTCGTCTGACATAATGCATGGCTGTATTTTTTAATTTTGTGCAAATTCCTTCAGCAATGGAAGATAATAATACTGATCCTGTCATAATATGGTTGTAGTTAAGGTCGGTTGAGATGGTGTTGGAAGAGAGGTTGATGACCATAAGGAAAATATTTGGATGTTAATTAATTTGATTTAATTAAGGTCAATTTATTTTAATCAGTTGTGTTCACACACAATACAAAATTTTGACATACAGTGCAACAATTTTAGCAAAATAGAAGACATATGATGATGGCCATATACAGCCGAACCATGTAACGTGGAAGAAGGGTGACTATATAATAAGTTGTATTATGACAGAAATATATGTGAAGTAAATGATATATAAATGCAACAGGACACTTAAATACAATACTTGGAAAATAAACCACTGTATGCATCCATTCTTCTGTTACAATTTAAACTGAGGTGCTTATATTGTTTAGAAAGAACTTAACCAGGATCCAGATTCCTCCATCTCATGAGAAATTCTTTCCCAAGCCAAATCTATTTTGTCCTGCCTAGAATAGTCTGGGTGGAATTTGTCATATATACCAGGCCCTTGCTCAATTAAAGTAAAAAAGTAAAGCTATCCCTAACACAAGGATATTGCTTTGGGAGCACTACTTCACATAGAGGGAGCTTTCGACAGAACCTCATTTGATATAATCAAACAGGCTGCTGGAAAGCATGGCATAGAGCCTACAATATGCAGGCAGATCAGGGCTATGCTGGAAAGCAGAGCCATAACTGCTACATTATCAGGAGAAACCCTGGGGGCATCCGCATCTAGGGGGTGTCCACAGGGGGGCGTGCTCTCGCCTCTGCTGTGGGGCCTGGTCATCGATGATCTCCTGTGGGGACTTAATGATGATGGTTATTATACAGTGGGATGTGCTGATGATATAGCAATCATCATAAACGGAAATGCCTTTTGACAGTATCAGAGCATCTTTAAACAGCTATGTACATGGTCCAACAATGGTGTGAAAGGACAAGTCTTTCCATCAATCCCAATAAGACGGAAATGATACCGTTTACCAGGAAGAGAAATATAAAGGGCCTTAAGGAACCGACCGTCTTCAATAAAATGATCCAGCTCTCCAGCTATGTAAAGTACCTTGGTCTAGTATTAGACAAGGGACTGACATGAAAAAAAAAAAAGAAACAGCTGGACAAGGTCATCAATAAAGCCTATAACGCTTTTTGGACATGCAGAAGCATGTTTGGTAAAACTTGGGGACTGCAGCCACATGTTGTGCATTGGATATACACTGCGGTTGTAAGACCCATAATTACATACCGCGCCACAGTATGGTGGCCCAGAGTTAAACTCAAAACAAGCAAGACAGAACTTAGCAAACTGCAAAGGCTGGCTTGCTTGGGTATCACAAGAGCAATTCGAACACCTCCAACAGCTGCACTGGACTCCTTGGACTCCCCCCACTGCATCTACAGTTGGAGGCAGAGGCCAGGGCAGGAATCTACGATCTCCAATGCAGTGATCAATGGAAACCTTGATCCAATAGTTTTGGACATGCATAAATAACTCAGGACATGAAAAAAGAACCCATATTACAAATGGGGTCTGACAAAATGATACTGGGACATGTATATGAAAAACCCTTCACAGTCAGATTTCCTGACAGGAGTGAATGGGAAGACAGGATTTGGCCCGATAGAAAGGGGGGACTGATCTGGTATATAGATGGTTCCAAGATAAATAAGGGCACTGGAGCTGGGGTGTACTGCTATGGCATGAGGCAGAAGAGTGGTTCAAGCCTTAGGCAGTACACAACAGTAGTCCAGGCAGAAGTATATGCCATTAAGGCATGTATTATGGAGAATCTAGAGAGGAACTACAAAAATAGAAACATCTACATTCTATCTGAGAGCTGAGCTGCACTTAAAGTGCTTGACAAACACCAGATCAACTCTAAATTGGTCTGGGATTGCTAACAAACCCTCATGGAACTTGCCAAACATAACAGGGTACAACTGATATTGGTGCCGGGGCATGAGGGTATTGCTGGAAATGAAACAGCAGATGAATTGGATAAGACTGGAGCTGAACATCTGTTCCTAGGACCTGAACCAGCCTGTGACATCTCTATAGCAGTTGCCTGAAAGGCAATCAGGGACTGGACACATATGAAGCACAAGAAATACTGGGGATCCTGAGGACCCTCTGCTAAAAGAGCAAAGGAACTGTTGAAGTTAAACAGAAACCAGCTACGATGGGTGGTGGGACTACTTACAGGACACTGTCACCTTAAAGGACACCTCTTCAAACTGGGACTAAGTGATAGTCCCACTTGTGAGAGGTGTCAAGAAGAAACGAAACAGCCACACACGTCCTGTGTGAATGTGAGGCCTTAGCTTATTTAAGATTACATCACTTGGCTCTATACTTTATGGAACCAAGTGACTATTTTGACACCCTCAGATACAAAATCCTGCACTTCATTCGAAGCGCAGGATTGCTGAGGGGATAATCAAAAGGAGAAGCACAATAGATCACTGTAGGTCGCAGTGCAAGAGCAGCAAAGGCCCACCCCTTATACCTTCATTCATTCAAAACTATCCCTGCAGCAGGCCATAAAGGCCCATAGGGTTGTGAGATGTTGAGGGTCCCACATTATGTTGACAATCGGCTCATAAATGGCGGTAAGGTTCTCAGCCTTACACACCAGCTGTGCTTTACTCCCCAGGAAAATTATTTAATTAATTCCTGGTACTCATTTCTGTTAGAGGCTGAGTCAACTCCAGGGCCACAGTGCAACTTGAAGGATTAGGTCAACTGAAAAAAATCCAACGACGTCATTGGGACTTGAACCTGCGACCTTCCGGCTTGAAGCATAGCCCCTCAACCAACTACGCTACCATGTGCCCCCACTCTTGCTCAATTAACTGCACAATAACAAAATTAGCAGCTCTGTCAACCTTTCGTGCCATCTTATGAAACAAATGACTCACCGAAGTGTTACAGAACAGCTGACACTAGGAAACCATGTGGCAACTCAACTGTGAAAAGGCTGGCATACTCTGTTGCCTGACGTTGAGTTTCTCAGTCTTTCCACAAGTTGCACTGCTGTTTCCTAAATTTGCGCGGTTCCATTTAGTAACAAGCGTTCAACCCAGGCCAATAATTCTTGGAAATTGTGGTTGTGTTGCGGTTACCAGTTTCCTTGGTGTTCCCCGCCCTTGTAGTCCCTGTGTTAAGATCCATATTCAGGAAACAGATAGGGAAATCTTTGCAGAGGAATAGCCATTGTTTAGATGTGTTACATATCAACGACATGTGAAAGCAGATATAGAAGATTTTATTTGTGTGTTATAATTACAGTATCTTGGAAGTGTTGTAATTAATTGTAGTTATGACCTGTAAGCAGTCAATGAAACCAATTATCAATCCAAACCCCGTCTTTAGTCATTGATACATGTGACAATATTACCAACATTACCAGGTCTGTACTCCTTGACTCCTTGCAGCACATCCTGTACGCTCGAAGCATCAGATTCAAGATTTTTCAAAAACCTGAAGAGATGTCTGACATTTTGTCCAGACAAGCTGCAGTCTTCAGCATGATGGTAACCCAAAGCCCTTGAAATTACCTGTAGCGATCAACAAACAAATTCATTTCCACACCACAAACCGATGATAGATATATCAGTACTCGACCAGAAAAGGCTTATAAACCAAGTTAATGCACCCTCCACAGGAGGAGGACAAATTCTATTCAAACTGTAAATGATTCACTGTTTCTAATTTTGTATGGTTCATGTAAATGAAACTCATGAAGACTAATTATAGTAAATAAATATATATATGGAGAAACATAGCACATAACAATGAAATGGATTACCTAGAAGGTAATCATTATCAAAAGAGATTTTCAGGTAAATTACAAGTTTGTTATGTGGAAACACAAGGCCAAAAACAAATTCTTGTCTTCAATGCAAACACAGACAGCAGGAGATCAATTACACACTGTACTGTCTCAATGGTTAAGAGTACCGTTAAAGAATCCAAGAAAAAGCAGAATATTTTAAAGTAATTCTTAAAATTATTATTATTATTATCACTGTCTTATAATACCTATAATTACCTATTTTGATGATCCCCAATAATTTCATCTGTGTATGGACTTAACCTTGAGAGAAGAATATTGGATAAAATTTTGTATGAAGTTGATAGCAGTGATATCCCCCAATAATTACTACAGTCAGTTTTATCACCCTTCCTGTGAAGTGGTACAACAATAGATCCCTTCCACAGATCAGGAAATTTTTCCTTATTCCAAAGAGAATTAATTAGCTTATAGATCTTAGAATGTAATATTTCACCTCCTGCTGAAAAATGTTGTCGGAATTTGATCACTACCTGATGATTTATAGCTTTTACAATTTGCAATAGCAATTTCAACCTCAAAAGGGATACGATCAGGTATTAACAGCTCAGCTGTATGTATTTCTATCTGCCTAACATCACTTAACCTATGTACGTTCAATAACTGAGAGAAGTAATTCCTCCACCTATTCAAAATGTTGTGGGAATCTGCAAGCAGATCACCATTCTCATCCTTCACTAAGTTACTGCTAGGTTTGTAACCCCTCTTGAAGTCATTTGTTTCTCTATACAGGTCTCTAATATTCTTGTTCTTACTGTTCGCTGAAAAAAAACTCTTTAGTTTTAGTCTGCAAGCAGGCTATACTGACAGAGCGACCACTGCTTGTTGGCGAAGTTAGTGCCAACTTTAGTGGATAGAGGGTGTTGCGTGGTCAGCGCAATGAATCCCCATGGCCATTAATTTCGCTTTTCTAGACCAGAGCCGCTATTTCCTTGAAATGGCTCCTCAATTATCCTAACAAAGCTGAATGGATTCCATTCCAGACCCATTACTTCTCAGATAATCTGGTAGCACCAGGAATGGAATGCGAACCTCTGGATCTGTAGCCAGGAACTCTGACCACTAGACCACATAGGCAGTCAGTGTCATTGCAAGCTCATTAATTTTGTCTTTGAGACATTCCCTCTTTTTATTCCTGAAATGCCTGCTGGTTTCATGTCTCATACTCTTCAGATTATCCCCATTTATTTCGTTTGGATCGTGTAACCACTGCGATTTGCCGTGTTTCCTTTGGTCTAATAATTTTGTGTATCCTTCGACAATCTCTATTTAGTCCACAATGTCCTCTTTCCTTCTGTTAACGTTCTGTGGCATATTTCATGAACTTCATCTCTGCAGAAATGATTATGGCCTTTATTAACTGGGCTTCACTACCATAGAGGATGACTGGGAGACCTGTTATAAGCCTTACTCTTGGATTTTTCTAGCTCCTTGAAGGTTTAACCATAAAAAGTTGTTCAAAAGACCCACCAAATTTATAAATTTCTACATTTATCCATGTATTTCAATTACTGGCAGTTTTTCAGTAAACATAAGAGCCTGTAACTGCAGTTTAACACTTGTTTACACACTGTAGCTGCATATGGCTTGTAAATGGATGGGCAAAAGAAAGAGGAAGCTGTGAAAGGTCAACGTTAATAAGGCACTTGGAATGAAAAGTTCTGTCAATCCAATCAACCCAGTTTTTTTGTATTTTTTTTTCAAAGAAAACTATACATCGGGTATTGAAGAAAATGTGCTATTCATATTTCTGCAGATTAGCTTGTAGCAAAATCAAGAATATCATCCTTTATTATTATGGACGGAAGAAAGAAAAAGAAAAGGAAAGTAAATTCTTTCCTTTGATACGAAACAGACTACAGAGAAAACAATGCATCAAACAATTTTTTTGTTGAGTGTGTATTTATTGCCATGGTATTGTTTTACTAAGCCAATGTCTAACAACAATAGGGGGATAGACATATACAGGACAATTCACGAAGTTTTACCCCAGCTTATGGTACATATTCCTGGGGTTATTTCCTGCAAAATTTCCTTTTAAACTTGTGGTCGATTTTCAATAGTTATGGAGTAACAACAGATTTTTGAAACACATCATTGTGAATGCAGCGCTATGCTCCCCCCCCCCGGGGTGACAATGCGTTCCAGTCAGCTGTGTCAGCAGATAAGGCAGACCAGCTGGAATGTTGCACGTAGGTAGGCAGAGCATTCCAGTAATAAACAGGATGCTGTGTTGGTGACTTTGTGAAGTTAGGATGCCGTACACATTTTCCACTGAGGAATACGCCGATATGGTGTTTGTTTTGGGTGTATGTGATGGAAATGCGAGAGCCGCTGCTGCCAAATATCACCAGCATTATCCTACTCGCAGGGTTCCAAATCCTAAATCCATTAGCAGTACATTCAACACATTAAGACAAACTGGTTCTCTCCCCAGTGTTCGTATACAATACGAACGAAATCCTCAACATGAATTGTGCGAACAAGAAAACATTCTCGATGCTGTAGAGTGCAGTCGGCGTGCCAGTACAAGACATCTAGCTCGGCGGTTCGGTGTTTCTCAGTCCATGGCATGGAGGACTCTTCATGAGAACAGGCTGCATCCTTATCATGTACAGCAAGTACAACACCTACAACCAGGAGACCGTTCTCTTTGTCTGCAGTTCTGCAACTGGTTAAATGGAAATTGGCAGTTGTACCGCTTGATAATGTTCTGCGATGAGGCACAGTTTACACGGGATGGGGTCAACAACAGTCACAACTTACATGTTTGGGCAGAAAATAATCCCCGTGCCATGATAGAATCAAATTCTCAACACCGATTCAGTGTCAATGTCTGGTGTGGCGTTCTGTATGATCAGTTCATCGGGCTGTTCATTTTTCCTGGCCACTTAACTGGTGAGATTTACCACCACTTCTTAGAAGAATTACCACAGTTACTTGAAGAGGTTCCTCTGGCAACAAGATGCCGGATGTACTTTCAGCATGATGGGGCACCTCCTCTCTTCTCCCATGCAGTAGCAGCTTACTTGGATCGGCATTTCCCACAGTGTTGGATTGGATGCGGAGGCCCTAATTCCTGGCCTCCCAGGTCGCCAGATATAATACCGTTAAATTATTGCATTTGGGGCTGGATGAAGGACATTGTGTACCAGGTAAAGGTACAAACACATGAAGCGTTGCTTGAACGTATTCTGGACGCGGCGATGTCAATAAGGAACACGTGTGGAACTGCAAAATACTACAAGTGCAGTTCATACGCGTGCAACGTGTTGTGTTGACGTGCTGGGAGACATTTTTGAAAATCTTATGTAAATCCAGTCGTCTTCTAAAGCACTACAGTTTAAAGGAAACAGATTGATAGAAGGGTGTGAAATGCAACCATAGGTATGTTTACAGAATAGGATGCTGAAAATAATGTAATTTTGTAACATAAAATCGATGAAAAATGTTGCACAATGCAAAATTAAGAAACTGGGGAAAAAAAAATGGTTTTAGAATGCTTCTTTCCTAAAACATTAACGATTTAAATAGTCTTTGTATTGTATTTCTAATTTGTTTTGACTGAAATTTGAAGAAAAAAAAAGATTTTTCACCAGTTTTCAAATTACTGTATCTCTTTAATTATGAGTTGGATACCATTAGTATATTACAATTTTTTGTTCCAAATTACCTCAGGAATGCCCTCCCTAAGTGGGGGCAAAAACTTCATGAATCACCCTGTATACACATGGACTGACAGGATGGATTTATAAAGTACACCACTGAGATGGGTTCAAGTGACATGATATATATACCAAGTTTCATAAACACTGACTCACCCGTTCAAAACTTAACATGGGGGGGGATACACAGACAGCATGGTGATTGCATAAACCTACTTTTATTTTTTCAAAAGAAGGAAAGTAGGCTAAAAAAGAAAGGTCAAGCTGAAGTATTGCCAAAAACAGATAACTACATTTGTATTTACACAACAGAACTAGAAGTATGTGGGAATGAGTTTTCCAACACGCACAATAAATTGAATTATCTCAAAACCTATTTCTTTGTAAAAGATATAGTGATCTTCTGCTTTTGACACTATGTAATCTGGCAGGCGGGTACCAACATTTCAGAGAAACTTACTTGCCTCTAATTCTGAATGGAAAAAGTACATATCTCTGAGATCTTTGAACCCACCTATCTAGTATACGGTATAATAACTCAGAAGGCCACGATATGAATATTCAATGCTGTGAACACCTCAGATTTTATCCAATAATGAAGGCTTTAAAGTAATAAAACTCACATCCAATATATTTTCCTTCTTTCCACTGTGAGATATGAAGAAATACGGTTGTCCTGGGAAGTGTGCCACAAAGATTGGTGCCTTGTTGACTAGTCCCTTATCATTAGCATGTTTTCTTTCAGTTAAACTTATCCAACATATCTCATCTTGTACAATCACTGCAACATGCTGAAAAAATTAAAATGAATGATTCTGACTGATGCATATATGTAATATACGAGAATTGTAATTTTATGATTTTCAGTATCAACAATGTTGAACACTAGGTGCTTAAACATGCCTGAACATTTACCTGATTTATTCTAACACAGCTCCCATATTTTCCAACTACAGTAGACTCTTGATCCACAGAGTAAGAGTGGGACTCTATAATCCCCTAGTTACTGATGATAGCTTCCCCGTAATAATTTAAACACCAGGTATGAATGACACGATTTGCAGTGGACTGTACACCTTCTCACTCTGATGCAACTTTCTGCTTTTATCATTTTACTGCTCTTTGCACTAGTGTACCATCATTTAACCAGGGTGGCATTCTTCTATTGGAAAGATACTTGTATTGTTGTTTAGTGACTAACAGAATGACCAGTGACTTTCAGGATATTGCAACATGGATAGGGAGTATGTCAAGGTTTTTGGATTATGTGTTGTTTTTAATTATCCATGCCAGTTCTTCCATCCATCATCACAGATTATTGAGAATTCACTGTATATGAAACTATCCTATTACATATATAAATTGTTCAAAACATTATACAATAGTCTGACTTTTTATAGTCCTGAAATGCCAAGTATAGTGTGCAGGAATCCTCTTCTTAGGACAGTTATCTGTGCAATTAACGGTTTTATTAGAAACAAAGATTCAAGTTCTGAGTTATCTTTCCCAAGTTAAAATATGCAGGCCAAACAGTTTTTTTCAGAAACAAAACCAAGGACACTCATCAAAATGACCATTATTCAGTGTGAGAAAATCCTTATACAATGATACCGCCAGGAATCACACTTATTGAGTATCTTTATACAATATTCTATGGGTGAGTCATATAATTCCACTGAGGGAACTTACCATTGTCTTTGTTAGCTCTACAAGAAGTCTTAAGACATGTTTACTGCATGGATGAACAGATGGGGGAAGGAAGGGCATTCAACCACTCCTGCAGTGCAACCAGATTTATTGTGTGCCCTATCTGTTATCGCATCAGCAACCCTGCACCTGAATTAATCTGCAGACTGGGATCTTCTGATAGCCACTAGGATTCAACATTCATTCATTCATCAGTAATCTGTCAGGCGACAGGTCCTCGGTCTCTTTCAAAACAGTTCCTCCACTTAATGCGATCTTCTGCTTTTGGAAAAGACTATCCAGGAAAAGTGATAATGTGGTAGTTTTTCCATTTGCTTTCCACATCGCAGTACAACAGCCGTTCAAACCACTCTGGTCACGCCTGTTGCTATACAAACTTGAACCATCTTGAGCATCATTTGCTCTGTGCTTCAAGTCGCTGCTGATGACGCTGCTTCCGGCATCAGTTTTTGTTTTTTGGTCTCTCTCTTCGTCTGATGCCTACCCTTTGACCTCTCCAGCAAGGGAGGCTCTGCCAGTAGCTACGCTACCGCTGGTATAGCTCTCAGGGTCCTTGGCATACTCAAACCCCCTCCCCACGATAAGGTAGAGACACCACCCCCTCGTTTGTGTCTCCACCTTATCGTGGGGAGGGGGTTTGAATATGCCAAGGACCCTGAGAGCTATACCAGCGGTAGCGTAGCTACTGGCAGGGCCTCCCTTGCTGGACAGGTCAAAGGGTAGGCATCAGACGAAGAGAGACATCAAAAACTGATGGCGGAAGCAGCGTCATCAGCAGCGACTTGAAGCACAGAGCAAATGATGCTCGAGATGGTTCAAGTTCGTATAGCAGCAGGCGTGACCAGAGTGGTTTGAACGGCTGCTGTACTGCGATGTGGAAAGCAAATGGAAAAACTACCACATATCACTTTTCCTTGATAGTCTCTTTCCAAAAACAGAGATTCAACATATGAGCTCTGAATTGATGGAACTCATGTCAGTAGCACTGTGCTATGTTCTGTCAATATCATCAGGGATTTCAGAGAGCCCCAATATAATTTCTGGTTAATCTGGAAGGAGACTAGTGCTTCCAGTGCAGTTTCACTGTCTGATAGAATATGTATTTATTCTCCATTATACTTGCCTTAATGGCATATACTTCTGCCTTGAACACTGTGGTATGCCACCCAGGCCTGCAATTTAGTTCTCTATGCCAAAGTGGTATATTCAGCTTTAGCACCAATTTTACATACCTTTCTACAAATAGGGCATGCACAAATCATATAAAAATTGCATATGGTAATAAGGAGATATCTGATTCATGTCACACAAAGTTCCTAGGCATCAATATCACAAACACATTGTCCTGGAAGAAACATATTGATCAACTTTTACCAAAACTTAGCACCACTTGTTATGCAATTAGAACTGTCAAGCCTTACGTTAATTTGGAAACTTTGTTGATGGTCTACTATGCTTACTTTCATTCCATCATGCATTATGGGATCATGTTTTGGGGAAATTCCTCATATGCTATTAACGTGTTCGGTGTGCAGAAGAGGGCGCTCAGAATAATGATGGGCATCGGTAGTAGAGATTCATAACTTTGGGTATTCTCCCTCTTCAATCCCAATATATTTACTCTTTACTGCCTTTTATGGTTAACAACATGGATTCATATCAATGTATATCTGATATACACAATAGAAATACATGACAGAGTTATAATTTTAACCTTTATCAACCTTCAGCCCATTGGTCACTGTATCACAAGGGAGCTTATTATATGGGAATCAGAGTGTTTAATAATCTTCCTGTTTTCATAAAGCAATTATATAACAATCCTATAGATTTTAAACTGGCTTTGAAAAAAATCTTATGCGATCATTCATTTTATACTTTAGATGAATGTTTTGAGTTATGCCGCAAATTTCGAAAAGGGAAATTTGAGACATTGCCCCAAATGTTGTGACCATTGCAAAAGAGTTTTACTCAATTAGGGCAAAGATGGCAACAGATAGACTGTGGAACTCGGTCAAGAATGTCTTAGTCAGCAGAGGTGCGTAATCGCACAAGCAGGAAGCTCACTTCAGTAGGCCACTGGGGAGAATGAAATTACCAAATGCACAGGGGGAGACGCAGCGGATTTGCCCACGAGAATAAAGTTGAACCAAAAGAAAGCCACCACCCTTAATGAGGGCAAAAGGAGGAGGTAGCTTTACTTTTAGGAAGCTGCTGCATCAGCTGTCTTAAGAGTATAAAGGTGGGCAAAGAAAGGCTAAGGGACTCTTTCGACACTCGTTTTTGTGATCAAATGTAATATTTAGAAAAGTGCTGAAGGCCCTTTTCGGCATGCGTCCAACAAGATGGTGGTTGGTGGTAGTCACCTGCGTCTCTACCTCAAGTAAGTCAATTTGCTCATACTAGCCATGTATCATAAAACTCTTGCTGTTTGTTAACTTGTTGAAATGCAATCTCCAATGTGCCCTGCGAGCATTATGATAGGATAGGGTCGCAACTACACAAAGAGGGTAGGAATGAAGGAAAGTGACAGTCCCAAGCCAGACTCCCTAGGTGGGAGATCAGAATGAAAGTGAGAACCAGTTTAAGGACCGATACTATGTAGACCCGACAGAACGTCAGCATTCTTATACTGTATCTGTACATATGTGTGTAAATAGACCAGTGTTATTAGGGTAGGATGTAACTCAGAGTTGTGATTTACCTCCACGATGGAACCCTTCCCCGACCAATCCGGAACTATCCTAGTCCAGACAAAAGCAGATCTGGCCCACAGGCAGCCAACAGCAGCCGTATGCAACGAAACAGTTTAAGGGTGAGGAGAATCCCAGTTTCGTAGAAATTAAATAACAACCCAGTCCTTGGGGGGATGACAGTTAATGGGTAGAGACGGGATAGAACCTACACGCCCTCTCTATCCATTATGAAGTGGTGCCAGTGGTGGGAGTAGCCAACGAAGGGATGGCTGATGAAGTAATTTAGTATTTTCTTTAACNCCCCCCCAATCAGGCAGTACATTTTGATTTTAGATATGACAAGAATGATACTGTCACGTGTTGGGTAGGTCACGTGACAAATAACTTCATGCCTTATTGAATATAGCGAATTTATTCCACTTGCTCTTACATTTACACAATTTACAATCTCACAACTACTGTCATCGGCAGTATCACAATTACTTTTCCTGCTTCCACTCACTCCGGCGAATGCTAGACTGCAACTGACTGGTTACTCTCTCTCACTGACGAATACTCCTGTTATGTAGCTTCCATACTGACAACACAGAAAACAGTTACGTGATAGCTTTCACTGTTGTGTGACGTTGTGTTTACAGGCGTTGCTGGGGAACGCTGCTGAGTTCTTTATCGCTGCGTAGTAACCGCGGTGTCCCCTGTTACGTCACCGCAGGGGAGGGGAACAGAGTGTTTACTGGCCTGTTACTGTAGCAGCAGTAGTTGCTCTGATGCTGTTACGTCACAACTGGAGGGGAGGGGGCTGTTTACCCAGTGTTGCGCCATCCACGTCACATTGCTCCCTTCTAAAGGTTGTTTGTCCTTAACAACCTAGTGGTACATACCCGTTTTTTTTTTTCTTCTCTGGTGTTCGTCTTTGGGACGCTACCTCCGCTCCCCTTTTATAAAAATGTTCGTCTCGAGCAATTCCATGGTCCAGCGATTGTTGATTCCGTCATTTCACATTCATTCGTCGCTCATTCACTACTCATTCATTCTTGTTGGGAAGACCGGTTCTTCTATGTTACCGGCTCCTCCTCTGTGCTATTCCATTTTTTTTTTTTCGTTTCAGAAGGGGTCGACCCCTCCACAAGGTCCAATCCTTGTCTTGTCGTAATCTGGCAGAAGATCTGGCTATTTGCTTCGCGATCTTCCTGCCGACAATCTCATAGAAGATCATTTTTCAAGTTCTTCTCCCTCCTAGGTGCGATCGCTGTCCTGATCTACACCCTCTGATGGCATTCTTGGTTGGCAACTTTTTCTTCTGGCATAGCAGCAGTCTGCCGCCTATGTTCTTTATTCCCGTTCTTCCTTTGTGGAGAATCCACACTCTTCTTCCGGATTCTTTCCTCATTCTTAGTCCTGGTACAGTTTCTCCTACCGATGCTTCTCTTGCGTCAGGCGATTCTTGGAAGACCGGACATCTTTCTGCCAGTTTCCTTTGTCTGTCATGCCACTTCCACACAGTGGCTCGTCCCTCTGCGGGCAACAGCCAGTCCTCTTCTTCGGCACCCATCCTGACACTGGGCCCGTTCGTTCATCTGACGGCGACGTTCCGCGGCCAGTTTTCGGTCCTTGTGCCTTTTCATCTTCAGTTCTCTGATTGGCATTACTTCGCCATCTTCTATGGGGACCTCTTGTCATTCTGCCGCCTCTCAGGTTTCCTGTCCACTGAGGTTGGCTGTTCTTCTAGATGTGCCTCCATCGTTTCTCAGCAGGCCATTATCTCTTCTTCTTCTAGATGCGCCTCTGTCGTTTCTCGGCAGGCCATCATCTCTTCTTCTTCTAGATGCGCCTCTGTCGTTTCTCGGCAGGCCATCGTCTCCATGTCTCTTTCTGCTTTGGTTTTGGCAACCATCTCCTTGTGGCTGGTGCCCATATTTTCTCGCATGGCTTTCGTCCTTGCTTTGATCACTTCTGTTTCTGTGGCAATCTTTTCTCGCCAGGCTTTTCTATTGGCCTCCATTTCTTCCTTGTTGCCTTTTCTATTGGCCACTGCCTCTGCCTGGTTGGCATCCAATTTTTTCCTCAAATATTGCCAGCATTTCGATTATTCGTTGCATCCCTTGCTTCTCCATTTCCTTTTTGGCAGGATAACACTAGATGTACTTCTGAATTCAATAATTCATCCTAGAGCGAGGCATGTTTAACTTTGTAGACACTTCTGACACCAAACTGTCACGTGTTGGGTAGGTCACGTAACAAATAACTTCATGCCATACTGAATATAGCGAATTTATTCTACTCATTTTTACATTTACACAATTTACAATCTCACAATACTGCCGAGTTCTCCTGCTTCCATTCACTCCGGCGAATGCTAGACTGCAACTGACTGATTACTCTCTCTCACTGACGAATACTCCTGTTATGTAGCTTCCACACTGATAACATAGAAAACTTACGTGATAGCTACCACTGTTGCGTAACATCGTGTTTACAGGTGTTGCTGGGGAACGCTGCCGAGTTGTTTATTGCTGCATAGTAACCGTGGTGTCCCCTGTTACCGTAGCAACAGCAGTTGCTCCGATGCTGTTATGTCACCGCTGGAAAAGGGGGGGGTTACCAAACGTTGGGCCATCCACGTCACAATACTATTCACTTGTAATGACTGTCTGCCAAATGTTGTTGTTTGTTATGTTGTGTAATGTTTCGACTGATTATGTTTGTTTGTATTGCTCCTCCTATATGACCGTTTCCACATCCTCAACTGTATGGGCCTATGGAATGAAATAAAGAACTGAAACTCTAACTCACTCTCCATAAGAAATTTAATGGAAATTGATTGGCTGAATACAAATATTTGTATAACGCATACTGCAAGATTATGTGTGATATGGCTAGCAGATTGTAGCTGTACTTCTGGAGTGCTGTCTGCAAGCAATAAATTTCTTTTAAATTTGTATCTGAAATTTTCTATTCTTCACTCATAGCACTTCCAATAAAATAATTTTTGGTCACAAAACAAAATGCCAGTCTTACACCATCCTTTATAATAAACTCATATCTCCCCATGTAATTTTTCATGTCCCAAAAACTAAAAATCTCCTTGAAAGGGCTTGTTTCAGGTCATATGAAGACATTACAAATATTGTGACAACACTGTTTAAATGATTTTTCGAAAATTGTTTCCAGTACTCTTTCCACACATGACAGACACACTGGGATGATTGTATAAAGCCAGAAGAGAATTACTTTTAAGATGTCCATACGCATTAAACGTTAGTATCAAAGGATAACTATGGTTATTCAATTATCAGGCCTCATTTAACAATGCACTCTTACATATGTTAATACTGTCTCCCTAAAGCAACAAAATATTAATCTTACCACAATTCTTCTCTTTTGACAAAAAATGGATTCAATGTTGTCCTGAATATCACTGCTCGTGTAGTAACGCTTTCTGTTCCTCTGTCTGTTTAGTCCAGACATGGCAAATGCAGTCCATTTCAAACGATGATGATGAACAACTATATCTGAAAGAAACAAGATGAACTACCAAGCACTGAATTTATTGAGAGTGTACTTGATTGATTTAGAAACATGTGGTAGGCCAGGACTCCCACTGCACCCAATTTTACAAGGTCTTCTAAGGCACATAACTTTTGTATACATCCATAAAAGACCAACTCACAAAAGTGAGCTTACTGCTGCTGAATAAATTTAATGATGCATATCTGCCACCTCCTCAGAAACAATTATTTGAAGAGTTCAATCCTCTACATCATAAAGCTGTGTAGATCAGTAAAGTCTGGCCATGTTTCTGAGGAGTGCATCACTTCCGCCCTAAGGTTTAGAGAGCAAGCCAGGCAAGAAACCAGCAAGACATGGGCTCTGCTTACCACCTGCTTCTTGCAGACTTCTTTCTTGGCTTACTCCTCGAACCTGAAGACGAAAACAATACATTACTTTGAAATGTTGCATACTTTTACAAAACTACTTAGCATTACAGCCTGGAAGATCATACTCTTTACGGTCACCACTGTGAGAACTTCAAACCTACCAGTTACTTACTTGGCATAAGTGATCAGATTTAAACAGTGTCTAATAATCAATTCCCAGATAAATATAATCATAAATACATTCAACTGAATTCCTTAATGCTTACAGAATCAACAGGGGGCACGCGGTAGCGTAGTGGTTGAGGAGCTATGCTACAAGCCGGAAGGTCGTGGGTTCAGCCTCTAACAGAAATGAGTACCAGGAATTAATTAAATAATTTTCCTGGAGAATAAAGCGCTGCCGGCGCATAGGGCTGACAACCTTACCGCCATCTTTGAGCCGAATGTCTAGACAATGTGGGACCCTCAACATCTCACAACCCTATGGGCCCTGGTATGGGGATAGCTTTACTTTTTTTTTTTTTCTTTCTTTCTTTGTTTTTTTTTTTACGGAATCAACAGTGGGGAACTAGGATAACATTTTCTTGCTGATCCATTTACAACTATTCAGGCACATTCAATAAAGAATAAAAGAAAAGTCTCAATATACAATTCTATAATTATTATTAAATACAGGCTGTAGGTCTCTCTCATTCTGGTACATTAAACAAATGAAGAAGTAATAACAAGAGATGCTTTGCCATACAATGTATGTAAAAAGAATTATGTACATTATCTTAAGGTAATGTCATGTAAATGACCAACTACAAAATGTATCATAATAAATTCTTTTAAATTCACCAGCAGACATATTTCAGTCTTACCTTGTCTGAGGTCAGCTTACAAAGGTTTCTAAGACTTCTTTTAAAAGCAAAACAGGACATCATTATACCTCTCCCAGTCCTCACCATTTGAGTTTTACTCTAACATGTCACTCTCTATACACTTCAAAATGAAAAATATATGCAAAATGAGAAAGAAATAAACAAATATACAATAAAATAAATAATTGAAACATTATAATGAGCAGGCTGGCATAGCAGTAATGCTTGAAACACATATTCATGAGGTGCTGTTTTGAATCGCAACCACGCACCAGCTGTTATATTTTTGGGGTTTCACAGCTTCCCTCAGTCCCTTCAGGAAAATGCTGGGGACAGCATATTAGTTAAATTATGACCACCTCTTCTAAATCCTTTCTAATACATCATTCATCAATCAGCCTATATTTGATGCTGTACAGTCTTGACACTGAGAGCATCATAAAAGAAAACCCCCTTCCCCAAAGAACTGCAGAAAGAAAAGTATGCTGTATTACTTACTGCCTAAGCCATGCAACTTACCAAGTAGTCGAATGATCTGTAAAATTTCTGTGACATATGTTTCATCTCTTGCCTTGTGCTTCTGGAAATTACAGAAAGTCATGCTGAATTACAGTTTAAACAATTTTGCAGTAGTGACATAATAGCTGCAAACACAAAAATAAACCGAATCTATTCTTAACATTAGGCTCCAACTTAACTGAAAGAATTGAGCAGATGGGTGTAACAGTGACATTCTATAGACTGCAATCAGGAGATAACTCCTTGATAAACAGTTGGTCATTGACAAGTTTCTCATAGCACTTGCTGTACCTGGTGCAACATACATCATTCTAGCAGATCATAAAGATTATTAATCAAATATTAATACATTTTATTTATTCACATTTTCATTTCATCTGATGCATTCCTTTGTCTGACCCAGCAAACGGATCAGCTTGTTGCAGCATCTTGTCCAGTCATTGCATTATATCAGGTATACACCCTCAGTTTGATTGGTATTCTAGTTGTTTTGTTGCTGGTTCAGCAGAATTAAAAATGTAAATTTATACTCTTGTGTACTTGCTCATTTGGCTATGTATCTGGAAAGAGTATGGACCATTTCCAGCTGGTGATTTGATCTCCGCACACATTGATGTGAATGCCATTGCTGAATTGTACTTTTTATACATTCTCTGTTTATTTGCTTTGTGTGTATTCCTGGCAGGCAGCTCTCATAATAGAGCAGTGAAGTGGTGCCACCATTGTCATTCCCGCAAAATTGTTCCAATTAGCAAGGGACAAAAACATACCTCAGCAATTTTGAATTGTTTCATTTTGGTCCGTTACACTATCAATCACAAAGTTAATAGAAAGTCCGTCGAGTGTAACAATTTGTAGGTCACTTTTTTTTATTTATTATTTCTGCCTTACATGTTTCAGTTTGACACAACCATCATCAGAGGCACTTGCTATAATTATGGAAACACTGTTGCTTTTTTTGATGTTCACAGTTATGTTTGTCGTGAGGACGCTGCTACGATATGTTGACGTGTAAAAGCACAAAACATGCTAAGATAGTTGAGTACACTCTCAAGTTCTCACTTTTCATCCGAACCTATTTTTAAGTTAAAACGCTAAAATGTTAAAATATTTGATATAAAATGCTGAACTCCTCCTTGTTAATTCATCCCGAAGATGGGAGACGTCAGCTTGAGGTTGTATGGCTTATGGTTTGATATGTTGATATGTTTGATGATATGTACACAGCACACAGCACACAGGAACATATCAAACCATAAGCCATACAACCTCAAGCTGACGTCTCCCATCTTCGGGATGAATTAACAAGGAGGAGTTCAGCATTTTATATCAAATATTTTAACATTTTAGCGTTTTAACTTAAAAATAGGTTCGGATGAAAAGTGAGAACTTGAGAGTGTACTCAACTATCTTAGCATGTTTTGTGCTTTTACACGTCAACATATCGTAGCAGCGTCCTCACGACAAACATAACTGTGAACATCAAAAAAAGCAACAGTGTTTCCATAATTATAGCAAGTGCCTCTGATGATGGTTGTGTCAAACTGAAACATGTAAGGCAGAAATAATAAATAAAAAAAAAGTGACCTACAAATTGTTACACTCGATGGACTTTCTATTAACTTTGTGATACCTCAGCATTTTATATATATATATAGTATATTGATTCCTAACTCTCCAGTGCCTTAAAACAGAATAGAACCACCTTCTTTCCAGTCTTTACCTATCATCCTCCCATTTCTGCCACTGAAATAACATAACTTAAGAATCAATCAACAGTTTGAGCAATACAAAATCATAGAGAAAGTTCAGACACAAAAGCTGAAATTCAAATGAAGACAGCTTAAAAAATCATACAAGTCAAACTTTACTGAGTCATATCAATTTCAACTTCAGACTTCTGCTTGGTTTCACCATAATAGATCAGCCTGACATGTCTTATAGTATGACCAACAGTAAGTCAATAAAATCCTTTTAACTTGTCAACTTTCCAGAACTGCTTCAGTTTATTCATTTTAACGGAAAGAAATTCAGGAATCTGGCTAAGGATACGATCCAGGGGCAGGCTTTTGTGAACATGGTAATGAATTTCCAGATTCCATAAAAGCGAAATATCTCTTGACTGGCTTAGTAAGTAACAGCTCTCAAGATGCACTGTGCTCCATGGAGTTAGGAAATAATTCAGGTAATGTAAGATGACTGTAGTTATTTTGTATTCAACATATGAATTACCTGAACTGCAAACACTATGACTCTAATAACTAAATCCTTATTCAGAGGAAGCTGCCCTTGTATTATTCTTCTTCTGACACTGGTCCATGATAATATCTTCAACTCTGGGAAAACAACATCCACCAGCTGCTCCAGACTGAAGCGGTGTAAAACAGTATCAATCAGCTTCAGGCTTCTGTCTGCATAAACACCGTGCTTAATTAAAACAAATATTCCATATTTTCAATAACATTTCTAAAATGAGTATGATAAAAGTGTAAATTACAGCAGAATTCCCTCATCATCCCTGTTTGCACTTGAGATGAATATTAAAGCACTGCCTATTTATGAAGACTAAAATAACCAGATTTAAAGAAAGTGGAAAGAATTAAAATGACCTAGAATCAGTGTTGGTGCTCTACTGTAGGATCAAAATTCACCATAGTAACATCTGGGCAATGCTTACATACTTTGCTTCATTGCACATTGATTGTGGCATGGAGGGAAACCTGCATTTTAATCAGAAGAATGGTATACAATATCCAAAAAACTGTCAGTTACTAGATGCCCAAACAGAATGACATAAATAAATTATCAGACTCATCTTTAGATATGTTTACAAAGATCTAGAGCAGAAATATAAGGAGACAGAAGGTACTCTGCAAGTAGTACAAACAATTCCTGAAAGCAAATAAGTAATTCTACCTCACCTGAAGATTTGTTTCATGTATCTCCCCCACATTTTGCTTGGGTCAATTTTATACTCACAGTTGCACAAATTTGTATTCCTTCAGAAAAATTGAATAAGCAGGCAGGCTAAACTAGATAATGCTTCTAACTTGTATTCAGGTGACAGTTTCAAACCTCCAGGTTATGAGGTCATTGATTTCACATGTGGCTTATTTGGCAATTTTGTCAATTGTGGATTGGATTGATCTGGATCAGGATAGGGACCAGTGGAGGTCTCTTGTGAACACAGTAATGAACCTTCAGGTTCCACAAAATACTGAGAAATTCTTGATTAGCTGCAGATTTGGCTTCTCCTCAAGAAGGGCTCAACTCCATAAGTAAGTAAGTACATACTACCAAATGAGTTGATGATTAGTGAATAATGAATTGGGAGTGATATCAAAGGCTGCAGTTGCTGCCTAAAATGAGCTATTATCCCAGTATCTGCTTGGGGAATGCAGAAAGCTACAAAAATGAAAATCCTCAGCCCGAATAGTTTGACTCTGGGCCAAAATTTGATGCTATGACCTCTCAAAATTCAAGCATAACATTCTGTCATGGGGTCTAATTCATAGATAGATAATCTAAGAGTAGATTAAATAGGGTTATCTGACTCTGTTAGCTCCTCCTTCAATGCCACTCCATCCACAGCAATTCAGCATCAGTGCCGGACTTCCAACTGTGTATGTGAGTCCACATTGCATTTCACATCTTGCAATGTACTTTACTATTTATACTCTAATGTTGGACACCAATGACTACTGAACCTGGGAAAAGGCATCTTGATGGATAAAAACATGTGGTAAAAGTAGGTGTTTATGGCATCATTCATATGACACAATGAATCTCTCACTTCAAAATCAAATAAAATGCTTAATTTAACACACCTGAGGTAAAGGTAAAGTTTGTTGTGTGTTTAATTAATTAAGATCCATACCATGCATACATACAGGGAGTGGAGGCACAGCTCCACCATTCTTAACCTTGGCACTAGTTGGAGGTGAATGGTCAGCTTCATACACCTGCCACTTTACCCCAAGGGAAAGAGCCCCTGGTACCCATTGGATAGGAGGCTGGGTGGGCCGCAGACCCAGTCTGAATGCTGCGGAGAAGAGAAAAATCTCTTGCTCTGCCATTAATCTAACCCCACTTACTTGGCTGTCCAGCCTGTAACCCATTCTTATACTGACTGAGCCTCCCAGCTCCCAATTTGTTGCATGTAAGCATCTGAAACTAATTAATGTTGCATCTAGGCAATAGAATAATAAGAAACTATATGAAATGTTGCGATACCTTACTAATTTTTTGAATAAACACTGACCAATGTTACCTAGGCCACATCTCAGTGTTCATCAGTCCTAACCTATTACATCTAATTATAAAATGTGTCTATGGCTTAGATCTATTTACAGCAAACATTTGTCTCTCTACTGGTTCATGTTTTACAGTTGTTTTGGATTTTCTTTTACCCTTATTCCATCAGTCTGTTACATCTATAACCGCATACAATTTATTACACCCCTTCATTCATATTTATGCTTTCACATTTGCAGCAAACAGTGCAATGAAATTGCCTGTGGAACTGCTCTTGTTTCACTATAAGGAAAGGAACCTCTGATGGTCAATACAAATTAGTATGCAGCTCTTACTTGAACATAACAACACTATTCACCAGCAATAATCTGAATATCTGGAAATATCAGAAAGTAAGTTACCTATACAAATTAAGAGATGAAAACCCTGTTGAAGACAGTTCTGATCAATCAGTGTCAAATAACTTGGTATTTCTGACATTACTTGCTTCATTTATAAAACAAACACTTCTTCATTTGGTTGGTGCTCTTATATTTTCCACAAAATTTAGAAGATGATTAGTCCCAAATTTTTTTAAATTTATATTACGCAGAAACTGCCTTCTAAAAGAAGTTATCGAAGGAAAGATAGAGGGGCGGATAGAAGTGACAAGAAGACGAGGAAGAAGACGTAAGAAGATGCTGGATGACCTTGGGGACAGAAGAGGATACTGTCATTTGAAGGAGAAAGCTCTAGATCGCATTAAATGGAGGAATTGTTTTGGAAGAGACTGTGGACCTGTCGTCTTGACAGATTACTGATGATGATGATGATGATGATGATATTACACTTGCTACATTGGAAGTGTTGCAGCAGACATACAAGGTGTGGCAATAAAGAACCCGGATTACTTTTATGACTCATTTCCGGCCACGTCATTGACGAAGAGGAGGGTAGGGCATTGACCCTTGGACTTCCCTCTACCGTCACACAAAGTTTCATTCACGTGCATCGGTTAGTCTGGCCGCGACCATTGTTAGAAGCGGATCGTGTTTCTGAGCTCCGTCGGAATAATGCTGAGTG